TACAGAGTTTGCCCCACACGCAAATCCCACTGTACATTGAAATATCTTCTTCGATACTTATTATGGGGAGATGTACCCAATGCAAGGGCGATATGCATGTGGGGTGTGATCTGTGAGCCTATCCGAACTCTCAAGTTATATGGCACACTGGCACATTTATTTTGGGCTGTATAACCCATTTTATACACTTTGCTTGTAGCAGATCCAAGTGCACAGAGATAATTAGCTAAAACCTTCCACATTTGTCCCATTAAGGAGACGAGACGTAGGTTCAAATGTGTAGAGTGTAAAACAGTTTATATTAATTGTAAAGTTGGATTAGTTTTGCATTAACAAATTTACTTTTTTATTAAACAGACTTTTAGTTGTAATGGATGTAAATACGAATTTCAATAAAGCATATTGCTTTTATGCATAGGTCTGTCATTTGTCAATGTAAAAATGTAATGTTGCCAAACACAAATAAAAGTGAACCAGAGTGCAAATTTATCCCAAACCGAAATTTACACTCCATTTGCATCATTTCCAAAGGCAGCCCAAAGTGCAAATTCTGCTTTACTTTTATTTTAGGTTTGACATTATTTTGTTGTAAAGATACATTTGTTTTCAATACAAATCTGAATCAGAAACAAATTTTGTACTCAATTCTGTTTTGTACTTGCTTGTTTGTGATTAAGACTTATATGATGCAAAATTTGCACCATGTCCTCTTACTCTAGTTCTCTGTTATGTTAATTGAGGGATCACATCAATTTGCATCTACTTCCCCCAAACCTTTAATTAACCTTCCTCCTGCATTATTTCTCCTTTATATAAATGGAAGTCGAAGACCAAATCATTTTATTTCTTGTTTTAATTCTTACAAATAAACAAAAATAAGTCAAATCACCAGAATTTACACTCAATCCATTTGGTCTCCATGCAATTACACCAGTGCATTGTGCAAATGAAATCCGCACAGCAAACAAATAGAAAATAAATTTGGAAGTAAAATAATGTGATCCCCACTTTTTTAGGGTACATGTGAAGAGGCCTTCAACCACACGGGTGAGGTGCTATACACTAGACACAGGTAGTGGTTTAATGGTGGCAGATACACGTGCAGGTGTATCTGCACGTGAAATATGAGAGATGTTCCCTATACGCTGAGATGTGCATGTGAAATGCAGTGGGGCGTGTTCTGTGAGGCAACAATCTGAACTCAGAGATTGAAGGTTGTGTAGTTGGGGTAGGGATCTGCTACCAATAAAACACTCCCAGCACTATCCCAATAGGCCACTGCAGGCGCACATTGAAAAAAACTTCCTTTTCATTCATGGAGAAATGTTCCCCATATGCGACAGTTGATAGCAGATCTGAACTGGTTTAGTTGGAAGTAGAATAGGAAGTATAAATAATAGAATCCAGGCCACGCCTTATATTAAACAGAATCAAGGTAGGAGGAAGGTTATACAAAGTTCACACCATTTTTCTTTTTGTATGTGGAATTTTCATTTCCACTAAATGCAAATTTTGCTTCTCCTAAAAATGCAAATCACAATTAAAAACAAATGGACCGTGTACAGAGATAGCATCTAGTTCAGATTTGCACTGCATGTGAAAATAGCGTAGAGACACAAATTTTACTTGCACAAACCACAAAATATTAAAGATCAAATCAGCCCGCACAACGTCCCACAGCACATCTCCGTCGTGTATTGGGAATATCTCTCGATGGTAATACCACAAATGATGATATAATCATCGAGAGATGTTCTCAATACACAGCTGAAATGTGCTGTGATACGTTGTGGGGGGCAATTTGGGGGGCTGATTTGAACTCAAAATAATATAGTTGAATAAACACTTATAACCCAACAATAAGGAGATTTTGTGGGCTCAATTATCTGGCCAACCTATACTTGCAGCAACTCCGGGCTAATAGCACAGGCCCAGTAATCCTGAGCGAACCCAGTCCAGTTTGGTACAATCTCCAGTTACCCCACCACCAACAATTTTTTTTAAATATACCCTATCAGTCTTGTCAAAAGAAACCTCAAATTTTTTCTTTCTTTAAGATACGAAAATACATTAGTTTTCATTTATCTATTCTCCATTCATTTTAATTGATTGGGGGTTCTCAAACTTAAATATGAAGTTATTGAAACAAGCCACTAACAAAAAATAACACAAGGTTACATTTGGAAACGATGCAAGTAAGTGTGAATGTAAAACAGTTCACATAAATTTGAAAGTTGGGTTAGTTTTTCACTGATAAATTTAACTTCTTACCAAATAAATTTTTAATTGTAACGGATGCAAACATAAACTTTAATAAAGCATTTTTTTTATCAAAAATTCACTTGAATGTAAATTTATTTCTTTTTTATTGATGTACTTTTACATTTATTATCAATGTAAACATGCATTGGTCCATCATTTGTCGATGCATAAATGTAATGTTGTCAAAAGGCAAAAATGAACCAGAATGCAGATTTATCCTGAACCGAGAGTTATACTCCATTTGCATCATTCCTAAACGCAGCCTAAGAAAATTAACTTTGATCTAACCCAGAAGTCAATGTCACGATAGGAACCTTGTACCGCCTGGACTCAACAACAGATTTGCTTATTATCTCCTCCTCATCCTCCTCTCCTTTATCCACCTATTCCCTTTTCAAAAATTAGACACTTCTGAATTGATAATGTTTCCTTTCTGAGATCGTAAAGCTTCCAATTGGGAAAAAAAATCACGCAGATCAAGCATTTTATTTTTGTTGGGCTTCCAATCAATGTTATGTTGTGAAGTAAGAGATGAAAGCGACAATTTCTTCTTTTATCTTCTTTCTTTGATGCTTATCTGCAGGATCAATCAAGATTCCACGATTCTTACAAGATTCCAGGATTCTTATCTGCAGGATCAATCAAGACAATCTAGTTATTTCCTACTGCCTATACAACATTTCTTTGCTTGATGTTCATAAATTATTGATAGGAAATCAGACCCAGTTGCTGTAATTTCCTCTCTAATAAACAATAGGCGGGAGGGAGTCCTAGGGAACTCGATATCTGTGCAGAATAATTAAATTGTTGAACATGATCACAAGAGTTGGCTCAAATTCCAAAAGTGGTATAAGTTCACAGTTCATTTGAGGAGAAATCCAAAGATATCATCAGAAGTGGAGCTCATCCATGTCCTGATACAAGCATTAACACTAATCAACTTTGGCTTTTCATTTATTGCGCTTTATGGCACCTCGGAGTGAGTAACCAAGTTTCTAATCCCAATTCATGGCTGACGACCAAGTCAGATGTTTTTGATTAATGATTTGATTTGAGGTCAAGACAGAGGAAGATTGCAGATTTACAGTACCCATCGTATAATGGTATTTCTATGATTCCACCTTTGTTTCTAGTGAGTCTTACAAATGGGAAGATAAATCATAAATGGGCTGATCTGTTGGAAGGTAGCTGAATGGAGTCTGATCTAAATATCTAATACTTTTGTATCAGGACATTCATTGATACACAGTTACAGTTGTTTTGCCCAGTGCTGTAAATTGTTCGATCCAAAGTTGCAAACTTATCAAACTAATTGGAATTGACTGATGAGAACTTCATGATCAAATTGAGTAGGATTTGAGGTTACCCTGGTCTAGCCTGTCTATAACTCTATATCCCTATCCTTTAGCACGCTGAGGCTCCTTTCATTGTTTCACAAAAAGGCATCCGAGGTACAAAGTTTGGACTGCTCATGTGCCCAGTGAGAGAATTGATTAGACTATTCATCAATCACCATAATCACATGCAATTGTTTAGTTATTTTTTTAATATGGTGAACAAATCAGAACTAGAAGAATCATTTTTCCATAGAAAAAGAATACCAAAACTAATGATCTCAACCACAGCGTTAAGCAGTTCTTAAGTTTAATAATTTTGTTTCAGGTCAGATCAATCAATCTGAGAGATGTTACTGTCACTCTATCCATGGAATAATCGAAACGATCTATTCAACACAGAGGTGGGCATGTGTACCATCTACCATACTGTCACTCTATCCATTATCCAGTGGTATATATGCTCCTAGTATGCTTAGACTTATATGGCCTGAGACAATCAGCCCATCGTTGTTCCATCCTGGTGAGACTGATGTGGGTATGGAGATTTGATATTTTGGGCCCCAAGCACCTGACCCGCACCTCAATTATGTCGAAGTATGTAACAAGATGGCCATATTGGACAACACCTTAACAGGAGGACCAAATACAGAGTATGCAAAAGACAAACTGCACTGGACCCTACGAACACATGCAGTGCACAAGCAGTAAAAAATGTACACCACTACCTTTCTTCTGTTTCTTCTGTTCTTCACTTCCTTGGTCAAATACTGGTCAATTGGGTCATCCTTCACTCAAAGAATCTCCTGAACAGGAGAAGGTGGTGGATGAATGAATGTCTCTCTGTAAGCTTGTGAATCAAAAGTTCTGGGCTGGTCAAACCTTTAATTTTTGGGCCAATCTTCATCTACAAGAATGGAGCTTTGTGATTAGTCTGTTCTTTGTAGCTTTGAGTATTCTATAAACAGATGGACATGTATAGGATAACTGAAGTTTTAGTATAGAATTCCCAAATGGAAGGCTTTTTGGCCTTGAAATCCAGCGTGTTAAGGATACCCAACTTTGGTCATCCAACCTATGGAACTGTATATTGGACAAAGTGGTATTAGATTTGATGGTTGCAACCATCTAATCATCCTAGGCTTTCAACCAAGGAGATATCCTAGAGAAAGTGCTGGGACCATCTTATGATAGATCCAAGGCCTAGAATGGTAGCTTCTTGCTTGAGCCATCAAATTTAGAAATGTTCTTCTGGTCCATGCCATCACTAATGCTTGCAACCATTAGTGAGATGAAGCTTAAAATTCACATGGAATCTGACAGTTTTCTTTTTCTCTTTGGTGGTGGTGGCTGACTGGCTGATGGGGAGGGGGTATCTGACAGAGTTGAATTGGCAAAAAGACAAGACAACAAGAATATTGACGTTTATATGATGATTGAGATGAAATTTTCTTCCTCTCTCCTTATTGCAGTACATGAAATTACATGAATAAATCTTACTCACTACAAGAACTTCTAATGGGTTTATATATGTATATATAAATAAATCAATCTATAGGAATTCACAAAAGAGACCAAAAAATGTCCTTAGTGTGAAGCCTTCTCCTAGATGGCATACACTAAAGAAGAACTACTAGACAGCAGATGGATGTGGTCATTTGTCAGTAATGTATCAAAACTAAAAACTAAGAACCAGGAAGAAGATTGGTAGAAATAATGATCAAGAACTGGGGTTATCGATTTGGATATTGTTGATCAGCAGAAGCTCCAAAGACGAATATCACCTTCTTCATAAAACTCTTCCAATGCCGGAGTAGTAAAAGAGGTGGCAGCATTAAGCATTTGGCTGGAGTACTTGGGTGACTGCAGGTCATAGAATTCCATCCATGGATCAATCACACGTATTGGTTCTTCGGCTTCATATGTACTGTCGTTTGCCCAACCTGGTAAAAGAGGGCAGTAGTCATCATCGTTGTGATCAGAAGACGAAGAGGAAGGCGACGGCGACGGCGAGGACAACGCCGATGAGGAGGGAGGCGGAGGTGGAGAAGGTGATGGGGTGGTGGGAGTGGAGGTAGTATCAGAAGTATTATTGGCAGCTGCAGCTGCAACTCTTTGGATGGATTTGGGGGACATAATTGTATCAGGGATATAAGCCGATGAAGCTGTTGGGAAGTTGAGATTGGCCGAAGAGCCCTTCAGGCATAAGAGTGCAGCATCGTAGGCTCTTGCAGCTGCCTCTGGTGTAGAATAAGAGCCTAACCATATTCTTGTCTTCTGATTGGGTGCTCTTATTTCAGATACCCATGACCCCCAGCTCCTCATCCTTACACCTTTGTACTTCTTCTTCCTACTTGATGATGATTGCACTGGTTTGGATGGCTCTGCACATTGGATCTTCTCCTCAGTTTTCACCATTGAAATAGTGCTTGGTGGTCGCAGTGGATGGCTTGCTGGGTTGAAGAATAGACACTGAAGATGGTTGTTGGTGCTGTTGATTTCTTGATTGGCCCTTTTATCTCCCTTTCTTCTGGCTTTTCTGTGTTTTTCTTCTGCTTCGAATGTGATTGGAGGTGAATATGAAGGACTGAGAGCTTCGGATGGTCATTTATAGCAGAGGGAGTCTTAGCATAGCATCTGACCACCATTGGCCCACACTGATGTTTTTTCACACAAAAATGAAATGGGTGACAGATATTTTGATGGACTCTACATAACAATAGCATGTCCTTCACTCTGAGCAAAATTATTAATATCTCCCTGTCCACTCTAAAAAGCTATTCACTCATCTAATATAATTAAACGGATCCTAATCCCTTTGATCGTAACCATCTGATCAGAACCCTTCTATTGGGTGGTCAACATAAAATGAATCTTGTGGCCTAATATCATCTGATTTGCTGACTGATCTAGATCTTGAGTACCACTAATAACTTCCAAGGCAAGGCAATCAGGTTGGCAGTCTGGAATTATGGATCCCATGTGCACCATTAGAAAATATCAATAAACAAAGCTATTATTCTTCTAGAGCCTCTGTAACTTCATTACAAGTCACAAAATGTCAAGGGCAGTTGGGTCAATACCCATCTACCATGGGTTTTATTTAAATCGAAATTTTCATCTACAAAGATGTATTTTAAAAGCTGGAGAAGGGGTGAGACTTGGGAGAGAAATTAAAACATAGGATTCTCTGAGGCAGCTTCGAGGATTTTGCAGTTTAGAGGGAGAGGGGTCAGATAGATGCTGAATGAACATATTGGGATACACAGAGTTGCACACGCACAATGCCCTTAGCTGTTACACCACTGTCTCGCAGCTCAAAACCGCGTCATGACTCATAATAACTCGTGTCTCTGAAGAGTGAATATTAATTTAAGATAGCCCAATAGCATCAACCGTTGCTGGGTTCTCATCTCTTCCGCCTGCATTACTTGACTTTTTAGTCCTCTTCCTTCTCTCCTCTCTCTCTCTCTCTCTCACTGAGCAGTTGGGTTACTAGAAAAGTTCCTTTTTCAATTGGGTTTCCTTTACTATACCCAACCCTACCTTATATAACACCTATCCAATGGTTGAAAGCAACCTCTCACGTGAGGACCCCATACTGAATATATATCATCATGACCTTTAATTTTAATTCTATATAAAATTATAAATTATTAATTAGTTTTCAATAAAAAAACCTTTTTGACACTTGATGAATGGTTACTTGTACAACTAAACCAAACATGTAAGGCTTACTACTTTTCACTTTTAAAAGAATACGACTGTTTCAAGTTTCAACCATCCATTTTTCTATTTTGTGAACTCATCACAAGACTTTTTGGGTGTAAACTTGTAAGGGCTTGTTTTACTTTCTTTCATCTTTGTCTTCCCCTTTTAGACAAGATGTCAAATGAGGGCACCTGGCTCACATGCAAAGGTAGTTGTGTGCCTACTCTACTTCATGGAATGTTTCTAATTCATCTCATTAATTGATCCCAACCATCTTATTTATTATATTATTCCTGTTTCTTGACTTTCTTGTATCGTAACCAATCTCAGTGGCCTCGAAGTGATAAAAGTTTTGCTACAACGGTCTCATTACGCCATAAGTTTTTGGCACAAAATGATCAAATTCCCTCACTTTAGAATCAAAAAAGCTTGAATAATGAGGGGAAGCATTTGTCTTTCCAAGTTTCCATAGGAAAAGATCTAGAAGAAGAATGCTAGCATCCATCCATAACCATGCATGACAATGTTAAGAGAACAAACCCAGCCTAGATGGTTAGACCATCAACTAGTAACACTTCCATGTGAACCTCTTTGGGTGACCCATGAAAACGTCTGATGAGTTTTGATAATTGGTAAGATTCTTAATTGAATAAAAAAATGCAATTATTCAACATATTAAATTTTGGGAAAATTTGTCGATTAGTATCTTATACTTTGGGCCTAGTGCCATTTTGATGTTTGAACTTTAAAACGTGATAATTCAGTATCTAAACTTTTAAAATATGTTAATCTAGTATATGGCATTAATCAATTATTAATCAGTTGCTAAATGACATTTGAAAAAATATAAATGCCCTTTGAGTGTTATGTAATTTTCTTTATCAATCATCCAAATATTAATAAAAAAATAAACAGTCTCAAATTCTTGTTTCTTCTATTGAAGAAGGTTGGGGTCACGTCTCAGTGAGCATTTTGATGGCCCCAACCTTTTTGAATAAAAAAGGTAAAGATTTGGGACTATTTATTTTTTATCAACATTTGAAGATTGACGAAAAAAAAATAGTTGATACTCGAAGGGCATTTGTTAAAGACTGATTAACAGTAGGTACTAATTAAATTAGTGCATTTTGAAAAATGGGATACTGAATTATCATGTCTTTTACCCTTTTAATTACGAAGCTAATGGTATTGCAAGAAAATCCCTGATAACCTCTTTGCAGTGTATGAATCGTACCTTGAAATGCTACAAGAACATGGGTTTTGTTTACTTCTCTGCTACTAAACAAAAATAATTTGCACCTTGTGTAGTAGCAAGTTGCACTTCAATCCATATTCAACTACACTTCATCCAATAGGCATAAGGGTGCTCACTGTTTCGTTAATTAAATCATAACATAGGTATATTTTTTAAACTAAACCGGTCTTTCGGTTTTTAAAAATTACCAAACCAAATCAACAATTGGTTGATTAATTCAGTTTTTTAGGATTTTACTTATATGCATATATCAATCGGTTCATTTAATGCCGGTGTTTTAATAGATTAATTGAAGCCAACCCGAAAAGCATTAAATATTAAATAATCGAAAATTCGATTCACTGGAGTTTTCGGTTTGGATTATTGGTTTCAGTTCAAGTTTCGAATTTGTGGTTTTAAATGAGCAAGCACTCCTAGCCCTAGCCTAGGGTCTCCACCTACATCAGCAAGCATTAATCATATCAAGTTCACCATGAAAGTGCACGAAGTGTAACATTTAACAGCAATTTTCCAGAGGTGTTTTTGATAGAATTTACATTCCTTTTTATAAAATAATTAAAAAAAAGAAAAAAAGAAAAATGAAAAGTGGTTTGCCAGTTTTGATATCTACAGTCATCAGCACGTGGCTCAGTAAAGTGCCGCAGCCACACAATGACACAAAGCTTGTTTAGAGGAGCTGGCAAAGAAAATGGAGACTGTTATACAATTGTTCTAGACGTCCAGTTAAGTTGATTTTGACCTAAATTAACTGTTGCAAGGGTCCTATATTGACTCTTTATTAAAGCCTCCTCTTCCTCGGTCCTTTTTTTTTTTCTTCTTCTTGGGAAATTTTTCTCAGTTCCTCTTGTGAGCTTCTTTATTAATACCATATCTGAACAATTACATTGAAAAAGAAGAAAAACCAATGATTTCTGCTTTATAATTTCTTCATTGAAACATGTGCAATGGGAACGGGTGTCGTCAATCCGTACGAGCCTCCTCTTTGCTTGTTTTCATCCATTTTTTTTTTTTTTTTTTTTTTTATGGGCAAATAGTTCTTTACTTCTTTTTATACACTTTAAAGTTTAAACAATACAACCACACGGTTATTAGGAATCTCCATAGATTAATTATAATTTCAGGTAGTTGCCTCTTTGTTTCCTGCATAGATGTGTACCTTTCAAATGTTTCCACATCTTCCAACTCCATTGAAAATCAAGATGATGAAATAAAAACAAAAGAAAGACAGTAATCTATATTACATGAATTAACAACAAACAGTGTCATCAAAACTGAACCAGACCTCCATGTTATGGGCAGTTGTGGTTTAGAGTTTAACACTTGATTTTAGGGGCGGACTGAGTCATGTCAAGCCAAATATTTGATTATTTGAACTTGATTTAGTTGAAAAATATGAAGTTCAAGCTAAAAACATGATGAATTCAAATTTCATTTCATTTAAAAGCTTATATGTTCGAGCTTGTATCTAAGTCAAATTTCTTATAAAAAATATTCATGAAAAAAACTATACATATAAAAATAAAAATTATTTCTTATTATATTTAAAAAAAAAAGTTATATATAATAAAAGTTCAATTAGCTAGACTCACAAGCTTCATTAGTTGATCTTACTGGGCTTGAACTCAGTTCAAAACTCAATATAGACCAAACCGAATCCAACTTTTCATGATCTGAACTCAAATAGTTTCTGAAATCCTCAGTCCGTGTCCACCCTACTTGATTTGTCTGGTTTTAATTGGTAATAAAAAAAAGAAAAAAAAAAGAAAGCAAAGTCATGCTGGTATTAGATGATATAAGCATTAAGCAATATTATGGTAGATATAAAAAGTAGGAAATACTGAAAATAGAAAAATGAAAATTTTAATAAGTATCTTTCAACTATAAAATCAACCTTTTGTTTAGAATCCAGTTCTTGATGGAAGAACAGTTTGGGCTCAACCCGAACTGCTCCGGCAACCAGTTGATGACCCAAAGGGTTTAACTAGCCAATCTGCTTCAGATTTTTAAACACTGAATTCAATGTTATCCACCTAGTTTTGGCTTGGTTTGTTCTAACAAATCCCAGCTTCTTTCTTTAATTTGGGCCTAATTAGGGTGGCAACTGTCAAATTCCCCCAGACATGATTTAAACCGGGCTGAGATGATCCCAAATCAAGGGAAAGAAATGGAAAAGAGCATTGAGCTGGGTCCTTTTTGTTGAAATGAAGGTTACTAGTTGGATCAACCAAATTTGATTGGTCTGTGCAAAAGGTCCAAACTAGATCCTGGTTTTAAGAGGAACCATTAACGAATAAACAAAGGGCCAGACCTCGAAACCTGGGCCTAGTGGCGCCGTTCTTTGTATGCATTTGAATGGCAGGTCAAGCCAACAACTGCCATCCACTGCCATGAACTTCAATTCATCTGTAACTCAATCAGACAACGCTCAGTGCAGCCTTGGAACTGGGTTTTCTGTCTAACCTTATCCACCAAACAAACAAAATACCAAGTCACATGACCAAACCAGAAATTTCATTTCCAATGTGATCTCACTTCATTTCACTCACCAATGGTTCAGTCAAAAGGAGAGAGAAAATAAAAAAAAAAAATCGTGTATATAGAGGAAACAACAACCACTAACCCAC